AAATCCCAGATCTTTTTTTACATGTATTTTGACTTTGTACAGATTACCCGTGATCCGGCACAATGGATCTCCGATTCGTGGTTTTCAGGACCTGGCCGGAGCTAACCGGGTGTAAGTGGACGCCCATCCGTTTACACCCGGCTTCCCATAGACTAACATTGTCAGCTAAGGCCAACTAAGGCAGAAACGCGTCAGTGGTTGTGCTTTTGTACAGATGCATGTGGAATAAAGTTTTAATTTCTTTGGAAGCTTATCGTGTGCTGGTTCCACAGTTTTTGAGCCTATTACTCTGGAAGAGAGTGATCCGTGCACCAAATGTGGATTGCAGGGACACATGATAGGGGTGAGCTGTGCACCTCGCTTTTTCAGTAGACTAACATTGTGCATTCTGATCAGGTATGCCTGAAAAACTGACAAGTGGACCTGATTGGACCCCCCATGTGAAAGGGTCCTGAGGAGCCAGGAGGGCCTGTTCATTCATTTAGAAAGCTCGGCATCCGCTCTCATAAGCTAAATTTAAACATTCCTACGCCTAACGCCGGTCATACATTGAAAGATTCTCATCAGAGCTTTCAATGTCATCAGACACTTGAGGAATGTCATTTTAGATTTCATTTGGTTTTGGAATAAATGGAGTTTCTCAATGAAAACCAAATTCCCTGTTATCAACTTTCACTCATTTCCCGATCCCGCTCCCTCGTTTTGTTTGGTCACAATGGTAAAAATTGATTGTGAATTGAGCCCAATAACTATCAGAAAAATTGAACGCATTTTTCAGATGAAATACTACAGTGCATAGCCGGCTTTAGAGGCTAAGTAGCAACTAGGAGACACCCGAGACCGGTGAGAAATTTAACCAATTCAGTTGTGCAGTTTTTGTTTTAAAAGAGGAAAGTGAGGAAACGTAAAAGTTACCCCTTCTGGATGGGCTACCAACGCACTGCAAGGGTAAGAGCTCATCTGTTTATATACAAAATGAGCTCTTACCCCGATAGCTCATTTTGAGATATACTCACCTGTTCCTCGGTCCCTGCAGCCTCTTCTTCCCCAGGCTCCAGCAGTCTAAGGACCTGTGATGTCATCACATCTAATGCAAGTGTATTAGACATGAGGACATTCCACTGTCAGAGTGGGGGGTGGAGAGGTGTGTGTGTATGTACCAGGGATGCGCCGATACCATTTTTTCAGTATCGAGTACTGATATGTATATTTCGGTACTCAGATACCAGTACTTCTTGTAGCATGGAACTGGCTTCCCGGGCAATCAGAAAGCTGGGTAGCACGTCATTACCCGCTGTCCGGTTTCTTGATTGCGCCAGCTTCCCAGCCAATCAGCATCGAGCTGGCTATTTGGCCGGAAAGCCGGCTTCCCAGCTAATCAGCAAGCAGGTCATTACACGCGGGCCGGCTTCCTGATTGGCCGGGAAGCCGGCTCCATGTTACCGCGTGGCACTGCCGGTCAGAGGAAATTTCCGGTATCAGAGCATTTGGCTGAGTATGAGAACTCGCCCAAATACTCGGTATTGGCACTGCTACTAGTATCGGTGCTCCCTTATGTACACATACCCATCCATGCATTACCCATGTAAATTTATTGGACTGGTATGGAAGTTTAAATCGTACACAACAGAACACTGGAGGAACATTTGTATGTCTTTCCACATGTACACAGAAGCACTGTACTGACCATTGCACGCATTTTTATACAGGATTTTTCTGCCAGCGAGATCCTTCTATAGGCGATCAGTAATTCCATTACAACCGTGTGCACGAGGCCTATTACTACTGCAAGGGATCGTGCACACAGGCGCCTGGGGCTGTACAATGTAAAACGTGGGTGTATTTCCCCACCCTGGAGCCACAGATGCTACATACAACCACTTACACAAATCAATGGCTGTACATATACACTGGAATTGCGCATGTGTACGGGTGCACAGCTCCAAATGTAGTGTTCAGGGTTTTGCACCCATAGAAATGCCTATGCGAGTCTGACATTTAGCTGCACACAGCCAGTGATCTCTATGGGAGGCGGTATGCGGCATCAGTAAACCTCGCCCAAAGCCAGAACTCAATGCTCGTCCATACTGGAGGACACACAGCCTGGTCCCCATGATCACACCGCGGGAGAGCCGCTCTAGGCCTGAGCAGAAACACCGTGCTTCATTCATCATTCCTACTGTGCGTAGCCCCTCCCCCTAGCCCTCTACCCGTACGCACGGTGCCGGTACCATTCGTATACTCTCCCGGCACATACACGGCGGCTGCAACCTAGTGTCCTCCCCCTGTACACACAGCGCCGCTATTCCTACCAAGCAAGGCCAAAGCCATTTGCTGCACTCACCTCCCCGCTTCGGATTCTTTGTTCTTAACACCGGAAGCTGCAACCCGCA